ATGAGTCCTAGAAGGACGAAACAACTGTATGATGTATCATCACTGATGAGTCCTAGAAGGACGAAACAACTGTATGATGTAGCATCACTGACGAGTGCTAGAAGGACGAAACAGCTGTATGATGTAGCATCACTGATGAGTCCTAGAAGGACGAAACAGCTGTATGATGTAGCATCACTGATGAGTCCTAGAAGGACAAAACAGCTGTATGATGTAGCATCACTAACATGTCCTAGAAGGACGAAACAGCTGTATGATGTAGCATCACTGACGAGTCCTAGAAGGACGAAACAGCTGTATGATGTAGCATCACTGACGAGTCCTAGAAGGACGAAACAGCTGTGTGATGTAGCATCACTGATGAGTCCTAGAAGGACGAAACAGCTGTGTGATGTAGCATCACTGATGAGTCCTAGAAGGACGAAACAGCTGTGCATCACTGATGAGTCCTAGAAGGACGAAACAGCTGTATGATGTAGCATCACTGATGAGTCCTAGAAGGACGAAACAGCTGTATGATGTAGCATCACTGACGAGTCCTAGAAGGACGAAACAGCTGTATGATGTAGCATCACTGATGAGTCTTAGAAGGACGAAACAGCTGTATGATGTAGTATCACTGATGAGTCCTAGAAGGACGAAACAGCTGTATGATGTAGCATCACTGATGAGTCCTAGAAGGACGAAACAGCTGTATGATGTAGCATCACTGATGAGTCCTAGAAGGACGAAACAGCTGTATGCTGCAGTTTGAATCATTGTTTGGTTCTACGGTATCGAACTTGTGTTAAATGGTGTTATTCACTTGTGTGTCTTTTGCACAATCATTAATGTGACAATAATCCATATCAGTATAGTTGTAAACGTACTCTCGTGATTAATGTAAATAGAAAATGCGAACAATTGATAAATATGAAACAGGAAAAACAGTAGTTAAAACCCTGGCTCCCGTAAAAAAATCGCTTTTGGTAGAACTGCAAAAATTTGAATCAACGTTAACACTTGTTGTAATGAATAAAAATGTTGCTGAACTTTATTGTGTTAAAGGATGATTTTAACAATGAGATAACATTTTCATGAGAATATTTCATACTTTGAAATTTTGCTTTTAAATTAACTCCTCCGTTTCTTCGATCACGTTGAGTAATTTATTTTTTTCCACTTTGATCACAGCTAGTGATCTTCGTTCCAACCTCGATGAAGCAGCGTTGCAATAAACGGGGTTTTATCTTCATTAGAAAATAAAACTGACTACAAATTTGACATTTTATGAACAAATCCAAAGAGATATTGCAGAAAGTGGTAAAATTGTAATAATTCGTTCAAACTATCGCCATTATTTAACGTTTCGGTACAAGAGCGTAACATCAAGCTCTCAGCACAGTGTTATGATGATATCAATGATGTAGACAATGTCACCGTTTTCTTGGTAAACGATATTTGGTCTAATTAAGTATGATATGTATTTTTTAAATCACAATATCGATCAATATATTATGTGTCTTTAGTACTATCTTTGAGATTGTCGTAGACACTGCTGTAAAATTAATCCCCAATGTTGGTAGCAACATATATGGTACATGCTACGTTTTAATCAATTGGAATAGAGGCACGGTTAAGTATATGCACGTGTTCTTTTGAAATAATTCAGTATCGAAAACTATGAAATCCATTGAATTTTGGGATTTGTACATATTTCCATCTGATGTTTAACTACTATGTCATCATATTGGGATATTCCTCTGTCGCTTATCGTTAGAAAACAGCATTCTAGAAGCATTCTAGCCCTAGGAGGAGGAAACAAAATATGTTACAGTTAATCTTTTATCATAATTATGAATTTATATTGAATGTTACTGTCAACTGGGTGTCCTTTGTATATGTATGATATTTCCTATTTGATGATATGGTTGTTTATAAGACCAAGAAAATACCAATATATTAGCATAATCATAATCCAAACTCAAATTCGGTAAACTAGGGCAAAATATGAAAAAATAAAAAATAAAAAAAATACATGGAGACCTCTGAAGAATAGTGGAAGAAGAATAAGGTCAGGTGTTCCGGAAGAGTGAGCACCTCTTGTATCATCACCCGTCACGTATATCCGTCTAAGGAAATAATGTCACGTTGTCAAATAGAATTTACTATTTTCGTGGATAGAATAAAGTTGGAAGTCTCGATACTCCGAAAATGATGTTACCACTGAAATAATTGCAGTATGTGGTGATTAGGGGAAATATAGATATTTTGACTCTGAAATATCAGCGGCAAACCGCAAAAATAAGAATCGCCGAAATATAGTGTTATTGGTGTATTTATTTAAAACGCTCTCTGAGAAAAATAACCGATTAATGATAAGGAATTGTGTCACGATTTAAACTAAAATGTGGTTTGAAATACATTAAAATAGATTTTAATCCCTACTCTGCACATTTTATAGATTTTTTTGTCAGAAACAAGACGACATTGTCAATATTTGCTTATAGTACAGCGTGAACATATATCTGAAATATTCTGGTCACACAGAACTGTCGCCGCGTAATAATTCAAGCAATAATGATTTTCTTTATGAATGTGTTCAACTCATTTTAGGTATGCTACAAAACACGGGGGATGGGGGGTGTGGGGTGGGTGGGTTGGGGGGAACGATTCTGTAGGGGCACCACTTTTAGTCTTATGTCATAGACTGAGATAAAACAAAAACATTATTTCCTAATTCTAGTACTGCGCGTCATGTACATTCATTAATATCCGGTACATTTACCGAGACTTGGTTCTAGAATGTATGGGAATGCCGTGTGATATATCGGATGGCGCAGTGGTAACGCACTCATCTAGATGTCCGGTTTCGATTCCTGGAACTGACGTATAAAGTTATGGGATTACCTGCCCGCCCACGTGGCTTTCTCGGGGTACTCCGATCAATATAAGTTGGAAAAATCTTGTCGTTAAAAGATTATAATTATGAAAAGACGAATTGCGAAGTCAAAAACGGGCCATCGCATGTTGACTTAAAACTTAATTTAACTTATTGAATTTACTAATTACGAAAATAGTTTTGTTAAGTATGAAAAACACAGTTACGTAGGTGATTAAATATGTAATCAGGTATTCACAGACGAGGTTATCGATACTCAATCCGGCCAGTTAAGGTGATAGCCAGCCACCGTGTAGACCATGTCAGGAACCAGTTAGTACAAACGTAACCTTCAGGGATCACTTGTGATCCTTAAATCATTGTCATTGATTCCGTGGCTACTTTATGTCCACGAATTTGTAGGTCCACGAATTTGTATGTCCACGAATTTTTAGGTCCACGAATTTGTAGGTCCACGAAAGGTTAAGACAGTATAAGTTGCGGTTTTTCTATGAAAAGATTTTTAAAAGATGAGCCCAACATATATGATGGAAATCAAATTAATATGACTATGAATCTGATGTAAACATTGATGGTTTAACCTTTGTGATGATCTAACCTTTCCGGTTGTCTACCCTTTCCGGTTGTCTACCCTTTACGGTGGTCTAACCTTTGTGATGATCTAACCTTTCTGGTGACCTTCCCTTTCCGGTTGAATTATTAATATCTTACGTTTCAGTTTTAGCAACAGTTAATGTAAAATAACATACTGTGGTATACCTATTTACTTGCAAGCAGTGACCCTTATGACACTGACTGTTGTCTCCCTAGACACCTGTCGTCACCTGTCCTCAAATGGCCATGACTGTTTGTGTCTCCCTAGACACCTGTCGTCACCTGTCCTCAAATGGCCATGGCTGTTTGTGTCACCATAGACTCTCTTCTTAGCCGTTGGTATTCAATAGAGTCGTCTATCCTCATACGGCTCTAGCTGTTCTTGCCTCCCTAGACACTCGTCCTAATATTACCCAGAACCCTGTACTTTAATGACCCTGGCTGTTGTTGATTTCCTGTACACCCGTCCTCATATGGCACTGACTATTAGTGTCGTCCTACTCAAACGTCCCCATATAACTCTAGTTATCGTTGTCTCCATAGATACCAGTCCTCATATCCCTGGCTGTAATTTTTTTCTCCAAATACCTGTCCTCCTATAACCATAGTTGTTTGTGTCCCCCTAGACACCGGCTGTTTCAGGGACATGGGTCTTCAGAGAAAGAAGCAGAAAAAGACAGGACGACTTCATATCTAAATGTCATTCTCGATTTGTTGAGTGTCCGGTCACGTTAGCAGTGCTCTCAGATTGTCACAAAACATTGCATGCTATGTATAAGGTCAGGTTAACCTTTTAAAAAGCATATTGTGACCTGGTTTGGTATAATGCTACCGTATCTAAGTTGTGTCATTTCAGTGTTATGGCGCTATAAAATAGTGTTTTTTGACGACGTAGATATTAAACAACAAATAAAACTTATCTTAACTGTTTTTCACAAAACAGCGTCTGCCATTGGGCCCATCATCTGTAGGTAAGTTTCATTATAAACAACGATTGATTTTAACTGTTGAGTGGACAATCGAAAACAAAAAACCCGCTGAGGTTTTCCATTTGCCGTTTATATCGACGTGGCATTTTAGAACGGCGCTTGTCATAGTAAATCATGTTTATATATACATATTCTCGTGGACAAATTTATGTATTTACTTCATTCTTTCTGTTATTAACACCAAAGACCATGTACTTGTAAAAAAGATTTTAAGAAAAGACAGTAAACAGTTCATTTATTGTCGCCTCGTTTTGATTATAGCTTTACCTAACAAATTGTTTAAATCTCCGCTGTGTCCATTATTGTTGTATAACTTTGACTGCTGCACAACATAACGATTTTTACACGTTATATCTCTATATTATGTCAGACACTACTGCTATGGGACTTGGTGGCCGAGTTGTTAAGGCGTCTGACCGTCTTAATTACTACCCGCCCCCACCCACACACACATCTGGGTTACGGGTTCCATGCCATCGTGGAGCAATTGCTGGCAACAGCTAGCTTTTCTCCGGGAACTCCTACTTTCCTCCTGTTCATCGGGAATTCTCTCTTTCCTCCTTTTGTCTGGCAACTCCTTCTTTCCTCATTTTCTCCGGGAACTTTAGCTTCCCCCTCTTCCCTGGGAACTCTTGCTCCCCCCTCTTCCCTGGGAACTCTTGCTCCCCCCTCTTACATGGGAACTCTTGCTTCCCCCTCTTCCATGGGAACTCTTGCTCCCCCCTCTTCCATGGGAACTCTTGCTCCCCCCTCTTCCATGGGAACTCTTGCTCCCCCCTCTTCCCTGGGAACTCTTGCTCCCCCCTCTTCCCTGGGAACTCTTGCTCCCCCCTCTTCCCTGGGAACTCTTGCTCCCCCCTCTTCCCTGGGAACTCTTGCTCCCCCCTCTTCCATGGGAACTCTTGCTCCCCCCTCTTCCATGGGAACTCTTGCTCCCCCCTCTTTGCTCCCCCCTCTTCCCTGGGAACTCTTGCTTCCCCCTCTCCCTGGGCTTGCTACCCCCTCTTCCCTGGGAACTCTTGCTCCCCCCTCTTCCCTGGGAACTCTTGCTACTTGCTCCCCCCTCTTCCATGGGAACTCTTGCTGCCCCCTCTTCCCTGGGAACTCTTGCTCCCCCCTCTTCCCTGGGAACTCTTGCTCCCCCCTCTTCCCTGGGAACTCTTGCTCCCCCCTCTTCCCTGGGAACTCTTGCTCCCTCCTCTTCCCTGGGAACTCTAGCTTCCCCCTCTTCCCTGGGAACTCTTGCTCCCCCCTCTTCCCTGGGAACTCTTGCTCCCCCCTCTTCCCTGGGAACTCTTGCTTCCCCCTCTTCCATGGGAACTCTTGCTCCCCCCTCTTCCATGGGAACTCTTGCTTCCCCCTCTTCCATGGGAACTCTTGCTTCCCCCTCTTCCATGGGAACTCTTGCTCCCCCCTCTTCCCTGGGAACTCATTTCTCCTCCTTTTCTCAGTGAATTCATGCTTTCCTCCCTTTCTCCGGTAACTCTTGCTTTCCTCCTCTACCGGGAACTCCTTAGAAGTATATTCTGGCAATACTTAGTTTAATAAAACTAAAGTCGTTATCAGTAATTAAAGGGCATTTGATATCAATGAAATATTTACGTAATGTTTGTCAAAGGGAGGTTACACCAGATGGCCTGAATATGGCATACCAATAGCGTGTAATCCTTGTAAAATATCCCCGTGTGGTCCCATCATCTTATTTAGTCGAGATATACTGAGACCAGTTATTGTTTAGTGACTACGATCATTAACATGAAATTAGTATTATTACATATATACTTACTTAATCATCGTTATAAACTACTACATTTATAGATTGATTTCTTAGCTAAGTTGTAGGAATTGAATCATTTTGTGTCAATGAAATCATGATCCCGATCCAGAAATGAGTTATAAACGATGCACACAGAGATGTTTGGAAGTTCCGATAGATTGTTTTCCTTGGTGGTAGATTTGCGTACAAATGGAATTTCAACGAAGCATAATAGGTGCCAGTTCAAGCGACCACAGCGGAAACACGGACAACAGGGTGAGTTTTCTGATTTCCGTTGAGACACAAGTCTTGGCCCATGTAAAACACCCCAGATCGATCTTGTTTACCATACGCCGTCTGGTGGCTGTCAATACAACGTATGTACGACACTGCAACTCTGTTTCAAATACCAAAGTGTTCCAGATATTATTAAAATCAGGAACACTGCCAAATCCAGGAATATTGTTTTACGAATGGGTCCTTATTACTTAGGTACTATCAGGCCTGAGGGCTCTGCTTAACGTCTTTGTTCAAAGTTCTCCACGCCCTCGTCACAGAAAAGACAACAATCTGCAATCCTGTCACTACCGAAAATTAGATGTTAGTATACAGTTTGTCTGTTAAATTCTTCACACCTTCGTTAAAGGACAGTTTTACGATATCGATCGAAAAATGGCTGACGTAATTGCAAATAACAAGTGTGCACTTTGCAGTAGATAAAGGATAGAGGTCGAGGGGTTCCGAGCATCGAATTACAGTAGGATATCAAATTTTGCCCCTTCAGTATTTCTAAGTAAACAGCAAAGACAGTTTCAGCAACATGCACATTGATCGTCTTACTGAAGAGGACAAATAATTTTCGTGAACACAGTATTTCTACCCTTTGGGCCCTTGTTAGATTCTTGATGTCGGATTCAAGAAGTTTGCATCCTCACAACAAGACTTAAAGTAGATTATACCTGTATCTCACTTATTTACTAATTGTGATGTAACGATTAGGGAACACATAGCCGATACAAGCGCGTGCACGGAATAGACGTTAGAATTCTTATTGGATGAGACGTGGAGAGCCTATATTCAAGGGTACGTCGGTATCACAGGAATGGTACAAAAATCATCAAAAGAAGTTGAAATTCAAGACATGGAAAATGGCGATCGCAGGAACAGTCTGTTCGTTGGACATAAATTGAATCTTGATTAAAAGCCGTGATCTTGTGACAACTAGCAACGTTGCAAGTTTGCAAGCGTCTACGTGATACTGCTTTACGACTGTAAACGGTTTTATACGTCAATCTGGGTCTAATAAACTCTTTACGTATTGATTTTGGTGGCAGTTAAAGAGCTGTGATACGTTTAAATATGTTCTAACGAGAAATACGATAGTGATTCATTACCCTTGGTTTTTCTTTATCAAATTAACAACCACATCTCTGTTAATGCTGTAGCAAAATTTGTATTCCATAATCCATATTTTCGCATTTTTGCCAAAAGCTTCAAACATAAAGGACCCCTATTTTTTAAATGAAGAACGCACTATATTACAATGTGGTGCGGTATAAAGATGCTAATTTCGACAAATCCTCGAAAAAGTCGAACCCTTTAAAAAAAAGTTGTACACCGCACATCTCGAATTTTCGGCCGAGGAAGATTCGTGGTACAGGTAGGTAGTTGATATGTTTTAGGAATGACTTTAACGCAGATCCCAAGTAGAAGAAGGCCACAACGGTCCACTTCAGAAAATATGGATGAAGATTGATGGATTCGGAAAAAACGTCTCTTGTCACATTGTCTGCAATGTCAATGCTGTTAATCCATTTATTTAACAGTGAGCGCTAAAGGATTTTGTGTGGAAATTCAGGCTGATTAAAAAGCAAGACGAAAAAGAAAAACAACAAACAAAAAAACACACACAAAAAAATACAAAACAAAAATAATATATATATATGTATATAAACAAAAAAATGTTTAAAAAGAACAAACTACATATGTGATTGCTTTGAACAGCTGATTGCCGGAACATTTATCGCAGCGCGGAATGAAAACTTTTGTCTCGTTTTTGGATAAAAACTACTATTCCAACCTCCAAGTATGGAAGGTCGAAATGTATAGATGGGAAGGAGGGGGTGGGTCAATGTCGTCTGGGGACCGGAGTATTAGAGGCTGGCAACAGTATGACCACGGAGGAAGCTGAGTGCCTGCTCACATTATGTTAACAACAGCAAGGAAAAAGGTAATGGGTTATGTCCCCTGGTCGAGACCAACCAGTTGATTGGTAGTACATGGTGTTCTCTATATAATATTCAGATTGAGCGGTAATTGTCTGTCAGCTCGCTGCCGATGTAATGTGATCGGGTGTCATCCACAATCATAAGACTATTGCCAAATAAATGAAGTAAAAACGTCGTGACTAGATACCTGTATTCAGGGTAGTTTTCACTTTTTTTAATGTTTATTCTAGTCTTACACCCACTGTATGCATAACCCTAACATATCATCTATTTATATCATATTATCGCTGTGAGAACGTTTGATTCATTTCAACAATTTATAAACAGCAGATGGAAGTAATGATGTTGTTGTCTAATGATTAGCTGGAGGCGATTATCTTATTTTAAAGGTAAGAAAGCAAAATGTAAAAGACAATGAACCTAGGACAAACAGAAAACGCTGCATAGATTTAGAAGTCTTAATGACGTCACGTATTTTCTCGGTAGTGGAGAATTACCGTTCGCGTGGAATTCTCTGTCTCGTTAAGAAATTAATTTGAGAATTTATGCTTGTGATAAGTACTATCTGATGCTCGTGTCAGTGTATTGAAAGGCTCATAATATAAGTAAGATTCTCTATTTTATTAAAATCTGTTGCATAAAAATTGCTGAAGAAACTGTACACATTTCTTTTCTAATTATAATAATTACGTCCACGTCGACGATAAATATAAAGTGACGTTACACGTGACAATACATGTTTGTAACATCGGTTTATTCAATGTCCCCACCATAAAACCAGGACGTATCACGTGATTTACACAGATATAACATCTCACCTATATTGAAACCGAGGCTCACGTTTCTTTTATCTAAGATAGATGGATCAGTTGATATATCGTAAAGAATTCCCGCCGGTGATCAGACTACAGTAATATCGCGTTATTAACCTGTAGCACATGTCTCCCCTAACGCTGATTTTCATTTTTTTAAATATTAGTTTTTCCTTCAAAATTGTTTTTTTGTCACTCTATTGGTCTATAGTGACTCAATATCTGGAATTGTTATGTCCGTTTTCCGCCTTTGTTGTCACTGTTACTATGGCTGTCCAGGCGTCTGTATGATGAGTGTGTCTGTTGCATTTTCTCCTTCAAAGCGTTTGATATTCAGGAGAAGATAAATACATTTATATTGTTATTAAGCCTTTAAAATTAAATTTGGTTATTGTCATCTTCCCTACATATATGATTCTAAATTCTGCTGGTCGGTACACCACTGTAATACATCTGATAGATGTAGATTTAGTTAACGTTCTGTGTTATTTTAGTATTGAGAACTCTGGTAAGAATCAATGCCTCGTACGCCTGACTTGGCTGGGCATTTTAGCCTATCTTATGTATGTTTAAAATTTGTGCCCGGAGGCCGTCATAACACATTCGGTTAGTATGTTCATCTACATAATCTTAGCTGGTTTTTTTGCAAGACATTAATTTAATTTAATTATTTGATATGTATGCTATTAAAACGGCATGTTCTTTTTAACACTTTGAATTCCGAAATGGTTTTATTTTCAAATATCACTTTATTATGACGAGGTAAAGTGGTAAGAGATATACAAATATACAAAAACGATCAACATTAACTAGAGATGTGACGCTTTATAGTTATCACAAAATACTGTGTACTGTACCATGGAGTGCTTCTCATTGGCTCCGCCACTCAGAGTCCAAATGTCACGTCATCACATGAACAATGGCATTACGTCATAAATTGGAAATGGTGCAAATTACAAAATCGTTGCCTCCGTTTGATTTTGTTCTCTAAGTTATGTCAAAAAAAAGGAATCTTGAGTTTTTTTTTCATTTCGTACGAGATTTTCAGAAACTCGAACACAAATTAACGACTGACTTGAATAAACGGCTTTCCTTTGATGTTTGGTTTCGACAAGATATGATGACGACATAATTGGCGTGACGTCATCAAGCAATTTTTTTACGATTGTCTGTTAAGTCTTGATTTAAGAATTTTGAGTTAAATAGATTAAAAATGATCTTTTTTACGATGGTCTGTTAAGTCTTGATTTAAGAATTTTGAGTTAAATAGATTAAAAATGATCTTCAAGGTGTTTTCTTAGTCAATTAAAATTGTGTAATGTATATGAATACTCTTGATTGTGTGAAATAGATACTGTTTAAACTGAGAGATTTTATCAAATGATCCTCTTTCTACCATACCAACATGGTATCTGATGATTGTATATGTTCTCTGTCGTTACTCCTCGATGGTTGGGATAAAGGGGTTATCTAGGTGATATTGTTACAAATAATTATACTTAATACAGGTAGTAAAGCGATACCTTAACTATCCGAGAGGTTCGAACAATAGATAAAAATTCTGCTAATTGAAAATAAAAAATTAAAAGTGCATTTGACATGAAAGCTCAATGCAGTGATTTTTCAATAAGATGTAATTGAATTTCTGTAACAATAATAGACAATTGTGTAGCGATGTAGTTAAAAGCTTCAGAGTCATATGGAGATATTTTCCTGATTAGTCCCAAAACGGTAAGGGGGTGGGGTATTGAATTTTTTTATCGGTCCGTCCGTCCCGGCGTCCTGGATGTTTTCAGCTCTAAAGGTATTCTCATCAAACTTTCTACTCGTATTAAACAACAAACTATCTTTGTTAAATTTGAGTTTAAGGGTTGTTTGGTCAATGTCACTTTAACTATTTTGAGAAAATCATTGCCAGCTTGTCAGCGCGCTAACTTGTAGGCGCCAGAATAGGACAGGTATGGCTTCAGCAATAGTCATTGTGCCTGTTTACTTGGTGTATGTTAATAAGCCTGTAAGTGTATTGAAGATGTCCCGAGTGAGTTCATTGTTTCTGTAAACCTATTACTTTCCTTGAATCAAATCAATATTTTGAATTTAATCAAAACCCCTCATTATCATAGTAATCCCCCACATCCCCTAATCCCTTCTCTATCCGCCCACAGTCTATGTAAAAAACATTAGATATATTGCTGTGTTGTGTGTGATACCATCAAAGTGAAACTAAAGACGGCAAGAGAATTGGCAGCCTAAAACCATTCCCCCATTAACTCCAAGCATAACATCCTAAGACAGTTGTCTGTTTATCAATAAAGAATATCCGCTTTTTGTTCTTTTTCAGTTTTCTTTTCCACGTTAGTCACTGGCTCGATAGGATTAACGTGGAGGAGTTTTTTTTTCTACTTCTTGATAATCCGGGGATTGACAATGATATTATTACCTGGGCTATGGTTTGGTCTGTCTCGGTCATTAATGAAAGTCTGTTTTGGTGTATTCATGAAAGTCTTATAAACAAATAAAAAACAAAAAGAAAGAAAAATAAATCCTCAAAACTTTCCAATGTTTCTCCTTGTTCCACTGGGTTTGAGGTATGTCGTCTTTTCCTGACTCCTTGTTCCACTGGGTTTGAGGTATGTCGTCTTAGCATGGCTTCTTGTTCCACAGGGTTTGAGGTAAGTCTTTTCCTGACTCCTTGTTCCGCTGGGTTTGAGGTAAGTCTCTTTCCTTCTCCTTGTTCCACTGGATTTGAGGTAAGTCTTTTCCTGACTCCTTGTTCCAATTGGTTTGAGGTAAGTCTTTTCATGGCTTCTTGTTCCACAGGGTTTGAGGTAAGTCTTTTCCTGACTCCTTGTTCGACTGGATTTAAAGTTTGTATTTTTCTTTCTCTTTGTTCCACTGGGTTTGAGGTAAGTCTTTTTCCTTCTCCTTGTTCCATTGGGTTTGAGGTACACATGTCACTTGATACGATTTCAGGTCATATGCACTTTAGCTAAACACTTTGTATTTGACAGCAATTTTAGTTGCCTGTCTGCACGTCCGATAACTGGTTAAATATCAACCAATATCTCTTTGGAATTTCACTCGTGTCTTGTAATGCAGATGTCGGTGAAAATGACATTCACGAAAAAAGAGCCGTATATCTTAACGTCAGGCAGAAAAGCCGAATAGCCGAATTAAGGTTCTTATTTGTTAAAAAAAAATTATAAAATAAAATGAAATCGTGTTTTTGCGAAACTCGTGCGAACTTTAAAATAATAAAATGCATGAAAGGGTTTATTTCTGAGTATGAAACTCTTTTTCAAATGGAGATTTAGCCGCTGTGTAATATAGCATACAGCTTTAAGTTTCTCAAGCAAGGATAGCCATCTGATCAGCAATAGAAAAATGCCACTGCGTTATCAATGTTTTTATACTCTTTCCTGTCAGACAGATTGTTTAAGTATCCAGGGTCGTCTTGACAGGGAGGAAAATGCCTATATATTTTTAAATAGAGTCTGACATCTTATGCAGTTTGTACAAAATGTTTACATATGACGTTGATGGCGAAGATCTCTATATGCGCACGTTAAATCGGAAAATGAACCAGACAGGTATGTAGTTAAAACTTATACCCCCCCCCCCCGCACCCCGACACTTTGTAATTCGGATTCACTATAAGTGATAATCCTGTCATCTGAAGGCTGGTATTTTGATATAATTAATATTTGCTGTACAACATTATTAAAACAGTTATCTAACAAAGAATGAAGACGATTAGATCGACGCGGTACCGGAAACGACATGGATTTAGTTTCAAGATGATTCGTCCATTATGAAATTCACATCTGACAGACGTCTGTTTACGATAAAACTTGCATCAAATTTCCCTTCGGGTCATAAATGTAGGCTCTCAAGCTTGTGGTACATTTCACGATAACGCATCCTAATGTACTAACATAATAAGTAAACATGATAAGTGAAAAATGTTAGATATCTGTTTATCTGTTGTATGACAATTCTTGTCAACGGTTCATCTGTCAATCACAACTAAAGACTTGAATCTGTTTCTCTAAATGATTATTCAAATCTCAAACATCAAATAAATTAATTGGATACTGAAGGAATTCCCGACGATATCCAACGAATATACGATAAGAGGGGTTTGTGTTTCTCATACAGGTTTACAGATCATTCTGTGTTGTCGAGGAATTGTATTCCCATTGTTCTGTATAACTTGTGGTGGGCCTCCCGTATGCTGTTCAGTGAGGAAGCAAGCAAACATCAAGTAGCATACTAAATGTCATCATCTTCTGAAATCATCAAGTGAAATTTAAATCAGCGATATAATTGTCGAAAAGTAACTTCGCTGCTTCAGATCTGCAAAATCCTGTATTTTTCTAAGAATTATTTTCTCTGTTCGGATTCACTACTCATCACCCGTTCCAGCACAGTCTCGTGTAAAAAGGTCATTAACCAGTCTCTTGTTGGGACAGTATACCCACTTAACTGATACACTACTTGTCAATAGTCACTTGTTGTACAGTACAAACATACGTCCTTGTTATATAAATTCACACCTTAGACCTTGTCTGAGGGAATCAGGCCAGGATTACAATATTACTGTAACGACAACAGAACAAATCAATTCTTTTATACCTCAGAGATACGATAACAAAATGAAAAAAATGTTTAATATGTACAAAAGTGAGGTGATTTTACATGTTACGGATATATCACAGTAGAACCGTAGCGTTGAAGACTGTCTATTGCGAGGTTATAATATCAGTTTGTTAGTGTTCACCCTCTATAACACCAGGTAAAATGTCTTGGATGATCTTTCCAAAAGCTCGACACCATCTTTTTAAATAAAGGTATTTCTCGTATAATTCAAAAGAGCTTTAAACGGCAGAAAGTTAATTCCAAATGATATTCTCAAAAAGTGTTCGTCAGAGACTTTATCTATATAAAGGTACACCCCTGATACGTATAATGTTATACCACGCTCCAGACTTTATCTATATAAAGGTACACCCCTGATACGTATAATATTATACCACGCTCCAGACTTTATCTATATAAAGGTACACCCCTGATACGTATAATATCATACCACGCTCCAGACTTTATCTATATAAAGGTACACCCCTGATACGTATAATATCATACCACGCTCCAGACTTTATCTATATAAAGGTACACCCCTGATCAGTATAATATTATACCACGATCCATGGATTTATGTCTGACCCCTTTGATGACATCACAATTGGACACAAAATGCAGAATTGGGTAAATATATGATTCTTTACATTTCTCACGAACCGTTTCTCTCCATATTGGTATAAACGTCAGCATTCTTGTTACGTATTTAACAGAGGGCGTGAATGGTATTTTTCATAATATATGTGAAGGACAGTGAGTATCTTGATATCTCCGTCTGCATTCTTTCTTTCTGTAAGTAGGATGTCTTCTTCGTGGTTGATTGGAGAGTTCACTAGTCTTTTACGTGTAGTTTTCGGGGGAATTGGTGGAGCTTGTAAATAGGTTATAAGACACATTTACAAATCCTATTTTGCTAATGTCTTGACAATATCCGAAATAAATCCCATTTGAAGACTTAATGAGGAGTTCAGGCACTGGTAATTCTTATGGAAGTAAATAAAACAAAGATCACAAGCACTTTGATTTAGTTTAATCGGTTTTTTATAATATTGAACTGCCTGCCTGCCTGCCTGCTTGCCTGATTCTATCTGTCTGTCTGTCTGTCTGTCTGTCTGACTGTCTGTCTGTCTGTGAAACGATCCTCTTCGCAATCAATATTTTTTATTTGTCAACATCCAATCTTCAAAATATATACCAAGGATATATATATATACATATATATATATATACAGTACGTATACCTATATGTTATATAAACGTTAATAAAATAGCTTCGTTTCAATACATAAATCATTGATTACCAGTGTTAGGGAATTATTTTCTGTCTCTGTATTAGAATCAATCTAACCTTGAAAGTTAAATGATAAATCAATGATATCTCCAAACATGTAATATTGATTGACAGCTTCTAATATCGTATTAAATTCAATCATACTCTGTGATTACCTAAAATTAATTCTCGTCATGCGTGACTTGTGTTTGTAATCACATCGATATCTTGATCAAGATCGCATTTAAATCTGGTCACGTGATTTCAATTTAAATCAATAAGATTTAATAAAAAAAAACAACTGCAAATCCTCTGATATTTATACATAAATAAATGAAAAAGTTATATTGTGAATTCCTTTCCTGATGCTCTAGGAAATAGTAATTATACTTTGTGTTGAGAAAAATAGTTTGGCTGTTGTTCAAAATGTATTACGTCACCTGTTTACAATTTACGTGGCAACATACGAGAGCAAATATAATACATGTTGGTTTGTTAAACAAGCATTTAATTAAAAGAGGGTTGGTGCTTTCTTAAATTTAGTATGAAGCGATACTTAACAATGAATTGGACAATACAAACCCTGTATATTGAAGTCGATATGCCCATCAGATCCGTATTTTGTGTTGAACTTTTCAGCTCCTAGCACAACATATTAACTACTCCTAATTTGGGTGTCCCACTATTCAGACACCCCTAAAACTATTCTTTCTTGTGAAATGCCGTTTTGCAAATAAATGTATGCAGTTTCAATTTCTTTATTCCGGAAGCCTTACGTTTATAAGATTCAACAATGTACATGGAATATTATAATGTTTGAGTGTTCTTACCTTCACTCATTCTTACACCCTAACCTATGTGCACTCTTACACTCAGACACGCACACATGCACTCATTCTTACACCCTACCCTATGTGTACTCTTACACTCAGACACGCACACATGCACTCATTCTTACACCCTACCCTATGTGCACTCTTACACTCAGACACGCACACATGCACTCATTCTTACACCCTAACCTATGTGCACTCTTACATTCAGACACGCACACATGCACTCATTCTTACACCCTACCCTATGTGCACTCTTACACTAAGACACGCACACATGCACTCATTCTTACACCCTAACCTATGTGCACTCTTACACTCAGACACGCACACATGCACTCATTCTTACACCCTAACCTATGTGCACTCTTACACTAAGACACGCACACATGCACTCATTCTTACACCCTACCCTATGTGCACTCTTACACTCAGACACGCACACATGCACTCATTCTTACACCCTAACCTATGTGCACTCTTACACTCAGACACGCACACATGCACTCATTCTTACACCCTAACCTATGTGCACTCTTACACTCAGACACGCACACATGCACTCATTCTTACTCACTAACCTATGTGCACTCTTACACTCAGACACGCACACATGCAGTCATTCTTACACCATAATCTATGTGCACTCTTACACTCAGACACGCACACATGCACTCATTCTTACTCACTAACCTATGTGCACTCTTACACTCAGACACGCACACATGCACTCATTCTTACACCCTAACCTATGTGCACTCTTACACTCAGACACACACATGCACTCATTCTTACACCCTAACCTATGTGCACTCTTACACTCAGACACGCACACATGCACTCATTCTTACACCCTAACCTATGTGCACTCTGACACTCAGACACACACACATGCACTCATTCTTACACCCTAACTTATGTGCACTCTTACACTCAGACACACACATGCACTCATTCTTACACCCTAACCTATGTGCACTCTTACACTCAGACACACACACACATGCACTCCGATACCTTAGCACACTTAAATATCACACACTCACTCGTATTCGTTGCAAGTACTTTTTTCAACCCCTCACACTTACAATCATGTACTACATCCATGAGTTACATATATATTGTACAGGAGAGTGAGAGAACAACAATATTGTTAACATTAACAAAGAATATATAGAGAGATATTGTACA